GAGAGGCCCTCGTTACCTTGGGCAGGTGGTATCCAGCCAGCGTGGTGTCCACTGTCACCTCCCTGGGCACGTTCAGGGGGATGATGTTGCCCATCCTCTGCACCTCGTGGATGACAGCGTTGGTGTAGGGCATGGACTCCCGAGCTGCCGTGCTCGGCTGCTGACTTTGGCCAAGCACCCTGTCGATCTCAGCCTGAACTTTTTCTGAAAAAGCAGAGAAAGTCCTATTATTCTAGTATTCATTACCCTCCTTGAGCCTGGTTCAGCTAAGGAATGAAGTAACCAGGATCAAAATGGCTAGAGTTATAGCAGGCTGTGTAGACGGTAGTTTCTCAGGGAGGTACCTGAGTGCAAAGTGGGCGCTGGTTTAAGACAAATCTGGTTACAATTCTTTCTCCTCAATATTCCTGGTGCAAGTTACTGAAACTCAATTTCCTCTTCTTATTAATGAGGATAAATCTACTTTCATCTTTAAGATGTTTCAAAATTTACATCAACTGATTTAGGGGAGTGTCCAACGAATTAAGAAAAACCTGCTAATTGTGCTCCACTAAAGGTTTTTCTCTTTTTCTAGGGTAATAGAAATTTTATTTGGATACCTGGTTCCCCAGCTAAAAACTCCATTTCCAAGATTCCCTTGTGACCTATGTTTTGGAATAAAGAATGTATGTTGAGGGATGTTTAACACTGGGAACATTCCCTTAAAGTTAAGGTTGCTTCTCCCTTCCCTTCCTATTGGTGGAAACGCAGCCTTATTGGTGAGGCAACTTTGAGACGGCCACAAAGGGCATCATTCTAGACACAACAGAGTAATACATTAGACAGAGCTTGGAACCTAAAATTCTGCACAGTCCAGCTTAGAATTTTTCACTTGAGAGAAAAATAAATCTTTTTTTTACATACCATTAGAAAACTTTAAAAATTTTGGTTAAAAAATGTACAGTTTAACATCATAACCATTTACATATATAGTTTAATAATGTTAAGTACATTCACCTTGTTATACAACCAACCACCAGAACTTATTTTTCTTGCAAAATTGAAACTTTGCATCCATTCAGTGAAAACTCCTCATGTTCCCCATCTCCAGCTTCTGACACCCAGCATTTTACTTTCACTTTCTATGAATACACCAAATCCTGATACCTCCTATACATAGAAACATACAGTATGTGTCCTTTTTTGATTGGATTAGCTTGGTGTCATGTCCTCAGGGTTTCCATATGAAAGCATGTGTCAGGATTTCTCCTTTTTAAGGCTGAATAATATTCCACTGCATGTCACGATTTGTTTGTTCATCCATTAACCTGTGTTGCTTCCCCTTCTGTCATTTAAGCCATTGGTATTTTGGAATCTCTAATAGAGAAGCCATATCTAGATCCTAACTAGCTTTTAAACTTAAAACAAAAACAAAAACAAAAACCCTGTGATTCACAATTACAAATACATTGTACACCATGACTCAGGACACAGGAGTAAAAATATACACACATGTACAGTATACACTTATGCATATATAAGGTAAGAAATGAGAATTTCATGAAAAATACTTGTCTGTAGTACACTGGAAGCACTCTGATTTTTCCATTTGTTTTAATTGAAGGAAAAAGTTAATCTTGATCCACTAAATTGACTCTATGTTCTTTTATCAAACTATTACCGAGTTTAAAACCCTGTACCCCAACAGTGTTTATCCTTCATGTGCACAAAGTGTTCTGGGGTCTTGAGAAAGCAAAACGATGGTACCAGTCACTGTCCTGCAATGAGCTACAGCCTGTGGGGAGATATGTAGATAATGCTCAAAAAGCAAAGTGATGGAGGTGCACGTGGTTGTCCCCAAAGGAAGAAACGCTAGTGGTTTCCTAGAGAGTGGGGAGACATCTGAGTGGGGTGTGTGTCTGAGTAGATTCTTCAAGCATAGCTAGTGGTCTACCGTGTAGAGAAATTAGGGAAGTACTTCCCTGTGTTATTCTTCTAGGGAGGAGCAGGTGTGATGGCACAGAGGCGTAAATTAGGACGGTGTAATGAAAACCACATGTCATTTAGTGAGGCCACCATGCAGGGTGGAGTTGAGGCTGAACAGGTAGGAAGGGGCACATCACAGGGCAGGATACACTGGAGTCAGGAGTCTGAACATCATCCACAGGGCAGTGGAAGACATGACTTAACGGGAGGGAAGATAAGAACCAGTATTCATTTCTGAATGGTATGTAACCCTTCCCAGGAACTCACGGACTTCATGGACATCATGGACTTCAGTGTCTTCTTCACTAGACTGGCAGCTTCCTGAGGGGAGGTACTCTCTGTTATGTTTGTAGTACAGGGACCTATCACAGTTCTGACTGTTTCAGAAAAACTGAAACATCTCTCCATCTTACCATCTGTATTCTGGACCCAACGTGGGAAGTGTGTTCCAGGAGGCACCATCCTGA